CCCCAAAACCCCAAAACCCCAAAACCCCAAAACCCCAAAACCCCAATATTTCTCTATAAATTGTATAAATTAAAATGGAGGACCTCCAAATTTTGTCAGTAAAAGATAGTGATAAATTAATTGCTGTATGAGGATGAACACATGGGGAGCTAGAACTAATCTATAGTCAGATAACTGAATGGGAAACCCAAAATAATTACAAGGTCTCGTTTCTGATATGATGAGGAGATTTTGAATGAGTTAGAGATGAATTTGACCTCGCTTGCATGTCTGTTCCTGACAAGTATAAGAAAATTAAGGATTTTCAAAGATATTATGATGGAACTAAAATCGCACCTATTCTCACTATCTTCATTGGTGGAAATCATGAAGCTATGAATTACCTGAAAGATCTCTACTATGGCGGATGGGTAGCAGAGAATATATATTTCCTTGGCTACAGTGGAATCATCAATGTCAACGGCCTCAGAATAGCAGGAGTCTCTGGGATTCACAACAGATCAGACTGGAGCAAGGGTTATTACGAAGTCTATCCCTTCCAATACGGAGAACTTAAATCTTCGTTTCATACTCGTCAATATGAAATAATGAAATTAGCTCTTGTAAAAGACCCAATAGATATTTTTGTGAGTCATGACTGGCCAACTCTCGTTGGAGATTGGAGTGATGTGAGAGCTTTAACAAGAATCAAGCCATATTTTAAGAAAGATTTACAGTCAAGATCACTTGGATCTCCTCATCTATCAGCTCTCTGAGATATGATCCAGCCAAGATACTGGTTTAGTGCTCATCTCCATATTCATTGGGAGGTCACAATTGAACATAAGGATCTATATGGAGAAACCACAGCTGTAACAAAATTTTTATCTCTTGATAAGCCAATCAGAGGAAGAGGCTTCCTTGACATCATGGGACTCACACCTAGAGACAAAATAAAATTCTGAGAGGATAACATGAAAAGAGTGTACTCTAGCATGAGAAGATTTTGCCCACAAGGGTTTCAAGTAGTCCATGACGAAGAATCTGAATCTGATGCTGATATGGAATCTAGCAGTGAAGAATCTAAAAATAGCACCACAGAACCAGAGGAGATTAAAGAAGAAGTCAAAGATAGCCTAAAGTCAGAAGTATCTCCAGCACCAGAATCCACTACTCAAGTTGAGAATGAAGAGGAAAAGGAATCTCCATTTTCAAAAAGAGATGATCAAATTTCAATGGACTTAGAATGGCTATCAATAGTCAAAATTACCCACCCATTGATGCCGATTGGAAAAGGAAGGTTTAATTTTGATGAATATGTACATCCTTTACAAGAGGGGCATCATAAATTGATCCTTGAAAAGGAAGAGGTTTATAAGGAACTTAAGGATAAAAATTTAGACTTAAACATCCCCAAATTAAAGAAGTAAGCTTCAATCATAACTATAGTGAATCCTTGTACACTCAATGGGATGCTGAGAAATGAATGAATAAGCAAAGTCAGGCTTATATAGAGATGCTAGATCTCGATAGCACCTTCTTCCAAGCTCAAATCACATCAATGCAAAAGACAGTAGTCCCACCTCCTTCCTTTACAAAGCCTGATAACAATGAGATATCATTAGATTTATAAAATTTATCAACATTTGATTGATTATTGAAACTTTGATTCAAATTTTGTACTTTTTGCGGGGTTTTGGGGTTTTGGGGTTTTGGGGTTTTGGGG